GTTTAGGCCTAATACTGTTAACTCTCCCGCTTACACATTATTATTAAAACTTTCTTCTTCTTTATATTATCCTTAATAAATCTTAGGAACGTCACAATCTAGTAATACTAATAGTGCCAACCTACGTGAAACAATTGTTTTTCTGTTTGCATCTAAAGATTATAATACCACAAATTAAGTTAAATAAAATCTATGTAAAACTGAAATGTGGAAGAATACAAATGAAGAATATTAACTCAAAGCCAAACTTTAAGGGTATAAATAATTTCTACCCTCCATCTACACTTGACTTACAATTAAGAAATGCACTAAATTATACTTACTTAAGACTTTTACAAAAATTCAAATTGCACGATTGCAGCCGTCAGTTTTTTTTACCTGATTTGTAATATTCTGTTTTGGTAAAACTAAGTTCTCCCTGTTAAGCACACTTTCACAGCTTTAGGTTAGTTTTAGCTATCGTAAAATAACATTTCTTTGTTTTTGAAAGTTAACTTGGTTTTAAAATTGCAGGATTATTTTAGTTTAACCTTTTCTTTTTAGCTCATACTCAACTGGTAAGAGAGAGAGATATATTAAAGGTTTCTCCGCACTTTTCTTTTCAGTTCAACGTTAATAAACTATATATATAACTTTTACATTACGATCACCCATTTAAACATTAAAATTAGAACTTACCTACTGTAAAATTTGCTCTTATTGTATTCTTGAATTAATTATTTCAACTTTTGTTTTGGTTGAGAATAAGTTCTAATGTGATATAAGCTATTTACATATGTTTGAGTATATAATAGAATTCTATCACCATCACCAATAAATAGATAATAAAATTTCAGTAAAGCTTTAGTCTGGACACAGTAATGCATGGTGTTCCCCATGTAGCTAATATTGCAAAGTACAGTTTACACGACTCTCTGTGATTAACAATCCAAAGAAAAAACATTGGCCATTTTCTTAGGTTACAGTGCAGCATTGTGACCTGGCGGTTTAACCTGAGCTTTTATAGATGGTACAAACACCTTCTTTGAGCCAGTGTCCAGCATTGTGACTTGGCTGTTTAACCTGAGCTTTTATAGATGGTACAAACACCTTCTTCGAGCCAGTGTCCAGCATTGTGACCTGGCTGTTTAAACTGAGCTTTTATAGATGGTACAAACACCTTCTTTGAGCCAGTGTCCAGCATTGTGACCCGGCGATTTAACCTGAGCTTTTATAGATGGTACAAACACCTTCTTTGAGCCAGTGTCCAGCATTGTGACCTGGCGGTTTAACCTGAGCTTTTATAGATGGTACAAACACCTTCTTCGAGCCAGTGTCCAGCATTGTGACTTGGCTGTTTAACCTGAGCTTTGCTGGATGGTACAAACACCTTCTTCGGGCCAGTGTCCAGCACTGTGACCTGGCTGTTTATCCTGAGCTTTTATAAATGGTACAAACACCTTCTTTGAGCCAGTGTCCAGCATTGTGACCTGGCTGTTTAACCTGAGCTTTGCTGGATGGTACAAACACCTTCTTCGGGCCAGTGTCCAGCATTGTGACCCGGCTGTTTATCCTGAGCTTTGCTGGATGGTACAAACACCTTCTTCGAGCCAGTGTCCAGCATTGTGACCGGCTGTTTAACCTGAGCTTTGCTGGATGGTACAAACCCCTTCTTCGAGCCAGTGTCCAGCATTGTGACCCGGTTGTTTATCCTGAGCTTTGCTGGATGGTACAAACCCCTTCTTCGAGCCAGTGTCCAGCATTGTGACCCAGCTGTTTAACCTGAGCTTTGCTGGATGGTACAGACACCTTCCTAGTGCTTACAGTTTCCATGTAGTTTTATGCAAGTTTACAAGCTTTATTTGTATTATGTGAACAACTAGACTCCCCTCGAATTGGTGTAATCAATTCAGTCACATTTGAATTCAATTCTCATACAATTTTGAATTTAATAATTTTGAATTTAATGTCACATGACCTTGGAAAGATTAAATATACAGGTAAGTATAAAGATGGAACATTTGAAAATGTTTCTGTCGACCGACGAGGACAGTACATCTCCATATGACTTTACAAACTGTACACATCTGACAAAAAGATCTCTACACAACTGCTAAGAAAGTAAGACTGATTACAGTAGAGACTTGCTTCTGTTACAACAGACAGTGATAAACTAATAATAGAGTAAGCTTGAAAATAAACAAGTTTTATACTTAATCTAAGACTTTAACACTCGTGAGAAATAAGTTTAACAACTAGTAAAAACAAAGAGCAAATAAATCAGGTTTAACATCAAGCATACTTTCTGCTGTGTTAATCTATAATCTTCTGTCATTTGTACAAAAATTATCGAAGCCAGTGAAGTTTAACTATAAAAATGAGGTTAACTCAAATACTGTTATTTAAGTAATTTAAATTCTGATTTAATGTGGTATAAGTTTTTTAGATTATGATTTGCACTAACTTAAAAAATGTTTTTAGGTTAAAAATACCCAAGATATAACCGGTACGAACGTGAACTTGTTTTAATATATAAACGATAAGGTGTCCTTGATTTTTATACATCTTATTTACAGTATCAAGTTTAGCTATTCTGGCCATGTCACTTTAACTTTTAGTAAAGTATGACGTTTAAAAAATAAACTCAACAAATTGTTCAAAATCCAGCTGTGGATGATTTCTTTGAGATTTTCGTTTTCCTCAAAGATGGGAAGGAAGTCTTCACTGTTTCACCAACTGTCTCTCTGAAGTCTTGACTAGGGGGAATCAGATCATCCTCTTCCATCTGAGTTTGCGATCTTTCTGGAGAGATAAACTGTCTCTTGTTTGTACGTGGAGATAACCCTGAAAAATTTTTTGGAGTGGAATGATACTGTTCAGATTCACTGATTACTGCATCTAATGAGACGGCAGCAGACATCTGGGAAGGCAATAACTTTGGTGTGTTTCTTGGAGTGGACTGTTCAGATTCACTAACTAGTGCATCTAATGAGAAGGAAGCTGACATCTGGTGAGGAGATGTAGTAGTCTGATATCGGGTATCTTGGCTACTGTGATGAAAACCTTCCTCGGGAAACGAATTGTCAAAAATATTTTCCTGGGTGAAAAATTAAAATCATTTTAACAGCATTCTGTAATCAGGTACATACAAAAACATAAATTTTAGTACGCTTTGCTTAAGTTTAGTTTTAATATAGACACCCCTTCATATAAACATTAATTCAGTGCAATTTAAAGAAAACAAATGAAATAACCTGACAAATATCACTTTATCTCACTTCAGTTTTTAGTTTTTGTTTAAAATATCCAGTTTCTTATTATTATTTTGTGTATAACAATGTTTACAATTTCTTTTCTTAACTTTAACATATTTATAAGTTTCATAAAATTAGTATTAGTAGTTATACTTTTGGATAAGCTATGTAATCTTAATTTTGATTATTAAGATTTATAAATCATTTTTGGTAAAATTGCAAGGAATGATTTTTACCTTAATTAAATAAATAAATAAATAAATAAATAATTAAATAAATAAATAAATAAATAAAAACTAAGCTGTTAGATGTGCTAATTAGCAGAATTTCTCTTTCTTTTTGAATTCAAGTTGAATTTCCAAAAAGTTAAAATTATTTTTTTTCACATTAATGAGACAAGCCAGTTTTCATTTTTTAATTATCAGAATATTTTAGCATAGATTTATAAATAAATGTAAAATTATTGCTCATTTTATCTTGGATCTGAATGTACATTAACCTCATGTAAAACAATATAAGTAACAAATGTATTCATTATAAAATCTTGAAGAAAGCACTATCAATAAGAAACAGTCATAGAATTAGACTTGTACGTTCACTTTAGTAGCAGAGTTAGAGTTGTACACTGACATTAGTAGCAGAGCTAGAGTTGTAGACTGACATTAGTAACAGAGCTAGAGTTGTACACTGACATTAGTAGCAGAGCTAGAGTTGTACACTGACATTAATAGCAGAGCTAGAGTTGTACATTGACATTAGTAGCAGAGCTAGAGTTGTACATTTGTACAACTCTAGCTCTGCTACTAATGTCAGTGTACAACTCTAGCTCTGCTACTAATGTCAGTGTACAACTCTAGCTCTGCTACTAATGTCCTGACATTAGTAGCAGAGTTAGAGTTGTACACTCACCCTAGTAGCAGAGCTAGAGTTGTACACTCACCTTAGTAGCAGAGTTAGACTTGTACACTGACATTATTAGTAGAGCTAAAGTTGTACACTGACATTAGTAACAGAGCTAGACTTGTACACGGACATTAGTAGCAGAGTTAAACTTGTACACTCACATAATAAATAAAGGATACACATGAAAAAAAAAGAAATAAAATACTTATCTGGGTCCTTTTTTGTTTTGCTGTTGACTGATGTTAACACTTAACCCTACTTTTTTATACTAAATCGTTTTTATTTGATTAAATAATGCACCAAAGAACACAGACAAATAACATGCAAAAAGCAGACAATTTTTCACAACCATTGCAATTTGTCTGGCTATCTAACTACGAAACAAGAGCTGTTAAAAATTCAGCTAAACTTGTTGATGTGTTTCTTGTGGGAATAAAGTTTGAACTGAAAGCAAAATTGACAATTCTCTGTACAGAAAACAATATAATAGATTATGTCATTCTTTAGATTAAAACCTTGGCTTTCTATTGGTTTAAATAATATAGCATTAAAAGTTAGAGAGAACTATTGACAATTTCTGAAAGAGAGAATGTGATAGGTGGACATTGCAAGAGGGGTCTGATTTTCTCTTTTATGGCTATGTAACTAAATAAGATTGAAGGTTATGAAAATTATCTTTTGTCTGAGCAATGATGATATCATTATGAGTAATTTACATTAAATTTCACACTTCTTGGAGCAATGGTAAATAAGTATGAGAAGAGGTGATGCTTAGAGAGAAAATGTCACATTCTAGGGAATATTTAGGATTTGTTTTTAATATTGGTGTATAAAATGAAGAACTTAAACATATATACTATTAAAATATGGATTATTAGCTAAATTTTTATGCCAAATATTTTCGTCCACCATGATAAAAAAAAAGAAGTTGAATTAAATTTTAAATGCAACTCACTAAAACCTCATGCCTGCAAAGAAAAAGATGCTCAGGGCAAGAGGATTAACTCACAATACTGTACTATTACTCCTCTTAAGTGTGGTATTAATCCACAATACTGTACTATTACTCTCTTTAGTGTGGTATTAATCTACAATAGTGTACTATTACCCTGTTTAGTGAGGTATTAATTCACAATACTGTACTATTACTCTATTTTAGTGTGGTATTAATTCACAATACTGTACTATTATTCTCTTTAGTGTGGTATTAATTCACAATACTGTACTATTACTCTCTTTAGTGTGGTATTAATTCACAATACTGTACTATTACTCTCTTTAGTGTGGTATTAATTCACAATACTGTACTATTACTCTCTTTAGTGTGGTATTAATTCACAATACTGTACTATTACTCTCTTTAGTGTGGTATTAATTCACAATACTGTACTATTACTCTATTTTAGTGTGGTATTAATTCACAATACTGTACTATTACTCTCTTTAGTGTGGTATTAACTCACAATACTGTACTATTACTCTATTTTAGTGTGGTATTAATTCACAATACTGTACTATTACTCTCTTTAGTGTGGTATTAATTCACAATACTGTACTATTACTCTCTTTAGTGTGGTATTAATTCACAATACTGTACTATTACTCTATTTTAGTGTGGTATTAATTCACAATACTGTACTTTACTCTATTTTAGTGTGGTATTAATTCACAATACTGTACTATTACTCTATTTTAGTGTGGTATTAATTCACAATACTGTACTATTACTCTCTATTAGTGTGGTATTAATTCACAATATGTACTATTACT